GTAGCTAAAACGATTCACTGTCACGATCTCGTCATAATCTATACACTAGCCATCACGCACGTCCGACCCTCGTTTGCAGTTAGCAGGCCATGCCTGGCTCTCAACCGTGCAGCACCTTACACTTTTTTCCTTAGCACCATATCTTATACACTCATGCGCCGTCTTCAATTTCCCTGCTCCACCACCTGCTGGAGATCCTGTACCCTCCTGTCGGCCTCAGCATCAGCTCCCTTCTTGCTCACAATAGCCTGCGCAATCCACGTGCTGACAAGCACCACCGCGCAGACCAAAGTGGGAATCAACATCCTCCTGCTCGCTTGCGCTTCACCGCACATCTGTTGGCTGTGATCATCATACCCACTGGAAAGCATCTCGAATATACTGCAAGCAGCTAGTTCGCGCGTGCAGTCGAAAGACGGGTTGTAGTATGAGTAGGCAGCACTAGGTACGCATGCCTCGCGTTCCAGCCGTTTCTTGGTCTCGAAGGTGATGATAGTGGAGGTAAGCGACATGGCGAATGCGGCGAGGCCGAAGAAGATTGAGCAGGCTAGTGCCCATGGGAAGCGAGAGCCAGCAGTTTTCGGATTCTGGAAGAGTTGTTAGCAGTGCCTCTAGAGGTTGGGGAGAATCAGGCATACCTTCTCCTTCATCATCATGAACGCCACTGTCAGCCATCCCACGACTCCGGCGACCAACCCAACGCAACCGCTCACCAAGACCCAGATGTCGTTGCTCGTCACATATTGCAGATACACTTTGTTGAAGTCTCTGTTTCCGGCGTCATACTCCTCCCAATACTCCCTGCGTGCAGGTGAGCCGACGGGTCCGTAATATGTGTGACTGCCTTCGGGATAGCTGGCGTCCATCGACTCGCTGTAGTGTGTGACGAGAGCGATCGTTGCAATCGAGAGGGCGACCAGGGTTGTCGATGCCAGGAGGGATATGGCTTGCAAGGCCTTGGAGAGCATCGATGAACTCATGGTTGTATCGGATATAATAGCGTTAGGATGGGGATTTGATGATAATTTGGAAAAGGTAAAGGTCGAGATGGAAGGGTGTTTGCGATATGAAGCACAAGGCTGGCAACCCACTACGACTATATAAAACCATGATAAAGCCGGGCGGGGTACATTACACCGCGTTGTTCCCACCGCATGCTGGAACGGGACCCGAGTAAGACACGCTTAATCGCACGACTGCGCCTCCGTCAGGCATCCCGCGTCCGACTTCTACTACCCTAACCCGACCGCCAAGCCCGTGCAGCGCGTGCGATGAAAGAAGAATGCGCAGACATCATTCGCGCGGATACACTTGGTGCTGCAGTGTATTGGAGCGGAGTCTAGGCAGATCCTGACGTCGTCATAGCGACTACGCCGGGTTGTGGTGTTGTTTCGCCAATGGATCCTGGACCCGAGTTCGCTACCAACGCCACGTACGGTTACTTCGACAACAGAAGATTGATCTGTTCTTTTCGGTGCTCTCGTACTCGGCTCTACATTCGCTTTTACTTCGCACAGTCTACGTGTCGGATTGAAGAAGTCTGCCTTGTAATTAACCTTACGAGAATGCACGTTGCAACGAACACAGTCCAATTTGTTGATCAACATTGAACTTTCCATTGTTCAGCCTTGCATTCCTTTCCTATCATCCCTTTCATATCTCATCCACCTCAATACTCATCATCATACCTCTGCTCGTCCCTCCCCTCATCATACGCATTCTCCATGTTATCACCAAACTGCTCCACACCCTCCGTCATATTATCCCACTTGTTCTCGATATCCTGCGGTATATCCTCCACGGCCTGGACCTTCTCGCCAGTCCACTCTGCCGCGTTCTCCGGGAAGTCTTCCACATCCTGAACTCCGTTATCCCACTTCTGCTCGACGTCGTCGCCAAAGTTCTCGGCGCGTCCGACTTGCTCGCCGGTCCAGCCCGCGGCGTTTTCGGGGAAGTTGCTGATGTCGTTGCCGAATTCGTCGACGCCGTTGGATACGTTCGCTTTGGCACTGTCCCAGCCGTCTTCTGCAATGGGGTGTTAGAGACGATGTAGGTAAGTTGGGTGAGTGGAGGAGTACGTACCGATCTTGTCGCTCTCATGCATCAGCAGTGCACCGCCTGCAACACCTGCGACACCGGCTGCGGCGTACTTCCAGCCGTTACCGCCGCTCTTCTCTTCCTGTTGTTGGCCACTACGAGTCGGATCGTATGCGCTCTGTTGGTATGCACCCTGGTTGCTGTAGCCATCCTGGCCGTAGCCATAACCGCCTTGTGAAGGGGGAGCGCCGTAGTTGCCCTGTTGTTGCGCGTAGCCGGGTCCGGGATACTGGTAAGTTCGCTCGCCGTTCTGCTGGTTCACGAAGATCCAACGATTTTCGCGTTGATCCCACTCAGCATACCATGGTGGTGAGACGGGTGGTGGTTGCTGAGAGTGCTGTGGGGGAGGGTACTGTGAGTAGCCCTGCTGTTGTTGTTGAGGTGGGTATTGGCCATAGCCTGACTGCTGCTGTTGCTGTTGGTCTTGCTTGCCAGAGCTGGTGAAGTCGGAGATCAATTCGCTGAGGAAACCCATGGTGAGTATGCTGTGTATGTGAGGTAGGTTGAAATGTGGCTGAAAGTTGGAATGTGGTCTGTCAATGGGGATGCAGGTGGGGTGAGGTATTTATTCAATGATCTGCTTATGCCCCTCTTACGCATCAATCGGTCCACTACATCTGCAGCTAGATCTGTTCGAGATGGCCCACGATGCGTAGCAGATGCGTACGGCCGGACCTTTGAAACGTGGCGCAATCTCGGTGAGGCGGTGAGGCGGTGCCGCTCTCTCCGTATTCGGCAAAAAGCAGCCACGATGGCCAGCAACGAGAAATTGCTACAAACATCTCCGTTTCAATTCCATCAGATTCAATCCTGAGGATCTGCAACGCCAACAAAAACAGCGATTTGGATGAGGCGGCCGGCACTCGTTCACAGGATGTCAAGCTTCTTTAAGCTTTACTTGGCACGCGGATGGTCCCTCCCGGATGAGCTAGGCGCTGACAGCCCCACTTAAGCGATGATTTTGAGGCGCAGTTCAGGGGCATTTAATGACGCGACGCGTTGCACTGCGCCACCCGGCCGAGATGATGAAGAGCAAACTACGAGTCCAATACTACAATACTTAGTTACGGAGGGATACGTATGTATAGAGCGCTCCGATTGCCCCACTGGATTAAGAAAAAATGAACACTTTCAACGCTGCCTCCTACAGCGTACGGTCCATGGAAGAGAGGGGCTTAAAAGGCTACATTGCCCGATGACTTTGACTTTCGATACTGATGTAGACTTCGCGTGCTCATTCAGTTTTTCCCTTGCGTTACATGCCGCTGCCAGTCTAGCCGGAAAACTCGTCGGATACCTCGTCAGATTCCTCGTCAGATTCCTCATCGGATTCCTCTTCAGACTGCCCGCCAGATTTCTCGTCTTATTCTTCGTCTGGTTCAAGCCCCAGTGCAGCGTCATTCCAGGGAGCCCATGCGCCCTTTTTTTCGAACCGCCAATCCTTGCACCATCGCGGAAACCCATCACGCCAGAAGATGTAGTAACTTTCGAAGTTGTAGACGATTTCCAGGCTCTTTTCAATTTCCATACTTCTCTTCTCGCTCGTCCAAAATTCGAAGTAGTCGATAATGCTCGCGGGCAGTTGCTGGCCACTGAGCTCGAGATACACAAGCTTCGGTGGCCATGATCCGTCCTCAAGCGTCTTTCTCCTTAAGATGTTTGGTCGATCGCGAGTGGTGGTCAGAGTGATGGTTCGTATATCATCGCATTCCAGCAACGCCGCAAGCGTAAGGTCGGAAACTCTTGGAGCACCATCGATGCGCACATGCTCTAAATTCGGCAGCGCTTCAATCATGGCTGCAACCACATCGTCTGTAATCTCTAGGGCCTCTTCGCGCAAGGGGTCGCCGAGATATATCATCTGGATGGAATTTCGAACGAACAATGGAGCTTCGGTGATGTCCCTTAGCATCCGGCTATGATGTTCGGTCAGCGGAACGTGCATGCAACGCTGTGAGGAAGATCACCAACTTCGTGACATGAACACCGCGCGGAAAATACACCATCTCAATCCACCTGGGATCAAGGATGGCATCCTCCAAGTCCTCCGCTGAGTGTATTATTGCCCCAAAACGCCCAAGGGGATGCCGGCGCGTTGGCATATCGGAGCCAATCAGTCGACGTTGCTCCTCGACGTACAAGTACTTTCCGCGCTCACACACCATCTCCGAGACTATCGGCCACTTGCGCTCTCGTGGATATTGCATGTGTTTGAACCATCTAACCTTACCTAGGTAGTAACGGTTTTCTGGATAATCGCGGACCCAATCCCCGGAGTTTCCTTTCTGTGACATGATTACGACAGGTGTGGTGCGAACAAAGAAACGACAGCATGAGATGGAGGAGCGAGCTGCGGCCAATGGCGGTGTAGCCGAGCGACACGCGACATCATGCCCACGTGACCACGCGACGACAACCACGCCATTATCCCAAAGCGGCAACAAACAACCTCGAAACAACTCAACGCGTTGGTCAGACGCACCTAAAGTCTGCAAAATGTTCTGGAAAGTGACACTGTAACTTTAAAAAATGCTTCATCGCATTACCGTCCAAAGTCAGCGCGAGGGCGTGATGGATGAACATCACACGGCATTCCACAGCCACCAAGGGCGGGCCTTGCTAAGCAATTTTCAATACCCTTTCTCACTATGACAACAGATTAAAGACGAGCAGGCAGCCATAAGCAGGTTTTGGAGAAAAGCACGCGACCCTCTGACGCGTTTCGTCGCCTTCACCTCGACTTTGGTCGGCCTACTTCGCCGCAAATCCTTCCTATACCTATAGCCAGTAGCTTGGTATATCGTAAGCTCTCTCAAACATCTTTTCCTCAACAACCCAGTCTGCGCATCCCTGAAACTGCTTTCTTGATCGCGTTCAAGTTCCTCAAACACTTCAATATCATCATGAAGCTCCTCGCGATCTTCCTCCTTGCTCTTATAGGCTTCGTCGAGACCGCCTCCAGCGTCGCTATCACTGGTAATTCCCGCGATAGTACTGGATCTGCCGTCACCGGAGACTGTCACAACGGCGACGAGAAGTGCTCCATCCTCCCGATCATCCTCCTCGGCCGCCACTCCATCAAGCGCTGCATCAACCACAACTGGGTTGACCACGAGATCTGCAACGCCGGAGTCATTTGTACCGCAGACCCTTCACCTCACTGTGCCCTTGCGACCATCAACGGTGAGATCGCTGACAAGGACAAGACCTCTGCTGTCGCCGCCAACGAGATTACATCCAGGCAAGTCAACTGTCGTGAAGGCAGTCAGCAGTGCGCATACCTCGATCCGATCAAGCGGCACATCATCCAACGCTGCTATGGCCGCAATTGGGTGAACACCAAGGTCTGCGAAGCCACCGAGACCTGTATCGGTGGAGCTGCGCCCCAGTGTGTCGCTCAGACCGTTCTGTCTCGCGACGAGGACGCTGATGAAGACACCGACGAACAAGACACCAACGCAGACGACATCGACGCCGTAAGTCCTATATCCACCCTTTACATTCCAACACCCGTATACTAACATCCCCCAGGACCTCGCCAACAAAACCGACCTCCCCTGCACAAAATGTAAGAGGATGCGCGATGATTGCTTCAAAGTGGGTCAAACCCACTACTCCCCACTCCCCTCTACTTCTCGCGGTAACTAACAGTGTCGTAGAACCATCACTGCAGAACAAACTACTGCCGCCACGAATGCCTCAACAGGATGAGGCGGTATCTCGTTGAAGACGGTCGACATGGACGGTATCGCGGTACTTGTCTGGACTACTGCCCGCAGCTGTGTCGGTGATGCGGGAAAGAGGGCTTCGGTCGCTTTTGCGTTTGCGTACCGGTGAGGATGCCGTTGACATGAAGGGTTCGATGATTGGTCTTAGGATTGAGGGTTGAAAAGGATGGTATGGCTTAAGCAGACGTATACCGTAGCATAGCTAGTTGATATCGCGTAATGCGTGAAAACTCGGCTTCTCCTGCTTCTCTTCATTGATGGGTTTGACATCTTGATACCAAAGCTGAATGATACCTCTGCAAGACACCCATTGCACACAAACAAGATCTCAAGCACACTTACGACATATCATGCACGAAACAGCCCTCCCATTAACAACCCACCCGCGCAAACTTTTCCGGGGTATCTATCCTAATCAAAAACCACCTTCTTCCCAGCCGCAGGCCCCTTACCCCCAAGATCAATCTTCAACTTCTTACTCTCCTTCGCCAGCTTCGCCGCCTGCCAACTAGGATGCAACTCACCCTTATCATCCCTCTTAACACCCAGCCCCATCTTCCTATCCTTCTTATCATCTTTCTTGCCCAACGGCTCCGCATTACTTCCACTCTGCTGCACGCCCCGGCCACCCAACGGCTTGCCCCGTCGTTGTCGCTTGTCGTCTCCGGCAACGGCGCCTCGTTTGGGGTCGAATTTCACATTCTGCTGTTGCTTCTCGAGATGTTTGGCTTTGGCGCCGAATTTCGCCTCCGCAATCTTTTGGCGCGCGCGTTGGCCGCGGCGGTTCTTGCGCGGTGCGTTGTCCGCGTCTAGGTCCGAGGCTTCGGATTCGGAGCCGGAGAAGTAGGCGGCGTGGCTGAGGGCGGGGAGGAAGGCGGAGGACGTGGGCTTTTCGAGGGTGGCTTTGGTTTTGGTCTTCTTTGTGGGTATGGCGGCTTCGGAGGAGGAGTCGGAGTCTGAGGCAGACTCAGCAGACTCGTCGGAGGCAGGGGCTACTGATCGCGAGATTGCTACGGTGTCGCTGGCCTCGTCCTCGTCGTCACTGGAATCGTCTGGTTGTGCGACTTCCTCCGTTTCGTCCTCGCTGTCGCTCGCAGCTTCCAGATCGGCGTCAGGGTCGTGTTCGCTTTCGCTGTCTGCGATACTAGGCGGTCGCTCGTCGCCGGATACTGAGCCCTCGTTGTCTTCTTCCCCTGAGGACGGCTCAGCTATCCGCGCGCTAAAGGCCATGTACGGGTCGTCCGCCTCGTCGCTCGCGTCCTTCATCTCCACGTCGTCCTTGTCAGCGGCCTTCGCCCTTTGTGCCTTTCTCGCCATCTTCTCTTCCTTGTGCTTCTTCATCTCCTCTGTGGTATATTCCTTAACAATCTCCTCCACCTTTTCGTTGTCCTTGGCTTTGTCCACGCCAAGTATGCCCTTCAGGTCCTCGATAACCTGATCCACGGCCTTCTTCACCTGTACGACTTTGAACATTCTCGCGGTGACATTCAGTGTGCTGGTATCCTTGCTGCCTTCTCTGATGCCGGAGATGTATTCCTGTAGTGGCTCCGCATCCTTCAAGCTTTTGACTCGGGACAAAGTTTTGCGCAGATGCTGGTCGCCCAGCTGCTCCAAGTTCAGCGCCTTGAGGACGTTGTACTCGGCGTTCAGGCGGAATACAGCCTCTTTTTGACCCTTCTTGGTCGCATACTTCTTTCTGCGACTGTACTTCTGGCGCTCGAGCTGTGAAGCATGGCGCAGAGCTTGGAGCAGCGGCTTTTGCGCATCTTCGAGGCGCTTCTGGCAGTACTTGGCTTGTTTCGCGGGGTTCATTATGACGGGAGGAGGAAGGTTGCCGGAGGTGGCAGTCGTCTCGCGCTTTCGTTTCGGCATCGTGGGCGTTGTTTGGCGGTGTTGTTGGTGTCGGACTGCTGGTGGAAATTTTGGAGATGGGCGCGGCCTAATCGATAAGCCCGCGGCCAGACCTTCCCCATGTGGCCGCCGCACCAACCTTCCTTCACTCTCACTCTTTCACGTCTTGTTACTGTCATCACACCACGCGCGCTATCAGGTATATCTTCATGATGCATTGCAGTCGTTTCGAACAAGACATATTGAGATGCGTACCACAAAGATAGCTAATCATACCAGCTTGAGCGCTCTGCGCGCCTTCCACTTTCATCACCCACCCCCTTCATTCCATCTTCACTTCACCTTGCGTCATCATCATTATCTTCTTCTTCGCGTCTGCTGCTGATTATAGAACCGCGTCTCTGGCATCCACGGGTGCTGAGGCGGTCTATCGTCAGGCGCACCTCCGCCCCGCCCGCCATCAGGAGCAGCGGGTTCAGCGTCAGCATCCTCGCTTCGGCCCTGCCCTAATGGCCGCTCATCGAATTCAGTCTGCCCTCCTGGCTGCAGATGAGGATCCGCCTCTCCGGGTTGTGGGCCCCGGGCGTTGTTCATAGCGGGCATCTGGTGGAAGTCGGGTTGCTGTTGCTGTTGCTGCTGCTGCTGCTGTGGCGGCGGCGGCGGCGGCGGTTGAGGATTGCCATGGCCTTGGCCCTGAACACCCGGACCCCGAGCTGGTGGTGCTTGGTTCGGTGCGTTAGGAGCACGCTGCGGTGCAGGGGCGTTAGCATTGTTGTTCCTGTTGTTATTGCCAACGGTTACGAAGCCTGGCGGACCGCCGGTTAGGTTGTCTGTCTCATGGTCAGCTCTTTCCTATCGGTTCTGCTTACTACATGACAGGTTGTACGATTTGGCATTCCTATCATCTCTTCGCGCGGCCTGGGGTGTTTGGCTCTCTGGTCTATTTGATGAGCTCGCCGACTGTTGCTCCAGTCTTCCCAGATTGATGGGACATGCTTGCGTACCCAATACTTCTTCGTTCGTGCCATGGTGCTTGGTGAGAATACGTAGGGTATAGGAAGAAAGAAACAACCATGACGATCTTATACTGAGGGATGGTGACTGCTGAAAGAGAGCATGGAAGAGGAAGTACTGATCCAATACTGGATGCGGAAATATTTCACGGAATGCCACTTACCACGTCTTCCTGGCCCGTTGGCTCTCATCGCTATCGTAACCGATATCGTACGCGTTCCTTCCGCGTCTTGGTTCTTCGTATCCAGGATATCCTCCATACGTAGGATACCCTCCATATGCAGGGTATCCACCGTATCCACCGTATGCAGAATATGAACCTGCTTATTTAGCAGTGAGCTAGTAGACCATTCTGGATGCCTTACCGAAATGAATGGGAGGCGGCGTCTTACTTCCCCCGAAGATTCGCTTGAAGAAGCCCATGCTGTTGACACTATGGACACAGGAATTTGATGATGTACAGAAGACGCACTTTTGGGATGTCGAAGCTGGCGTCGGTAGAAAGAGCTGCTGTCTAGGATCGTCGACGAGTGGAAAAGGAATGCTTGGGCCCGGAGAAGCGCAGTGGCACTATATGGACCACGACTCAAGCGGTGAATATGCAGCAATCTTCAAATTTACTACTAACAATCACAGTCCTTCGTGACATCCTAATCACCGACGATACCCTTGATACCATGAACACCAGCGCGATCCACCGTACGCCAAACGCCTCCGAACTTGAACCATATTCCGCAAACAACAATTCAAACGCATGATCGTCCATCGAAACATCAAAGAAGAAAGAGTGCCGGCACTCGAACCTCTTCTCCACGCCTGTCCCCGTCTGGTCAGCGCCTTACAGCCGGCCTCTCGCCCTTGGAAAAATCCGGCTTCTCCCCCCCGGTTCTGAACGCAAGATACGTCAAGCCATCCTTGTTTGTATTGCGTTCGTACTTGAGTTTTGCCTTGGCATAGTTTTCTTTGAGTCTCTGTTTCTTTTCGGCTTCTCTCTTGAGTTGCTGGTTCTCATCGGTCTTCTTCTTGGCTTGAGGAGACGAGCCTCCCTCCGCTACCTTCGTCTTCCGAAGAACGGTTTGTGATTTTCCGTCCGGGGCTTTTCTGACTGAGACCACGCCAAGCACTGCCTTTGCCACCGACGGTGGGAAGACCATCTTTTTTATGTGGCCTGGAGATGTGTATTGGTTGGATGGTTTGTGAGTTGTGTGATGATCAGGTTGATCCAGGTGTGCCAAATGATGCGAATAGTTTCGATGAATGCTGGGTATCGAAGTCGAGGCTTTGTGAGTTGTTATGAAGAAAGAGTGAGGCATGCGGGAGAGGCATTTATAGGTACGGGGGGACGAGTACTACTCTCCTCGCGGACTGTATGTGACATCGTCCATTGAAAAAGCTGGCATCTGGTTTGTATGTCATTGACAGTATCGATAACCCACGCGACATGCTTTCTTCGTAAGTTTCACAGTCAGAACGCCCATGGCAGTTTCGCATATGTCACATTGAGGCCAGCAGTTATGTGAGTGACAGTTTCCATGTCACCCATGAGTCCATCTCTTTCACTGCAACGCTAGGTCACATATATATCGGCGTTGGTCAAACGCGAGACGATGAGCAGGCCAGCATACATTCCACGGCACTACGATACATACTGACATCACCAGGCGAACCATACTCGAAAGTCAACTTTGCGTGATGGCAAGAGTAAATTCACCCTACATCAAACGAGAAGCAGTGCAAGTGACTCATACCTCAGTCTTGTGTAACGTACACATCGATGAGTCTACCCGCTACGGTATCTGCATCATCTACACCTTCTACCTCCCCGAGCAATCTAGCTCCCGTTTCTCAATTCCAATCTCTGCTCTGCGAAACTGCGCAACGCCGAGCCATACGCCACCTCCAGCCTCCGACCATCCCACCCCCGATACTATCAGGCCTTTCGATCAAACCATTTCCCAGGGAACTTGCCACCGTCACCCTCTTCGTATACCAGCGCTGACTCGTCGTACTCTTCCTCCAGGCGAGTTGTCCTCCTAGGCCGCCCCACTTTCTCACGTCGCTTATCCCGCGCCTTAGGCAAACGACCGCTTTTCCGACCTTGCTCAAGTTCTTCGCCCAATTCCTCATACCCCGTTTGGTACTGAGGCGTAGGTGTCACGTACGGCGACGGATAACGTGCACTCCAGGTTGGATAAGATGGTTGAGCGGTGGGCTGAGGATGGGTATATTGTGGGCCTGGGTATGGCGGGTACGTATACTGTTGGTTTGTGTATTGCGGATACCCCCCTGGTGTGCCCCAAGTAGGGTAAGACGCCTGCGGTTGTTGTTGGTACTGGGGCGGAAACGTATGCGGGTCAGGCTGCGAGTACGGATGCTGGTATTGTTCCCGTTGCTGATACTGCTGTTCACATTGTTGCTGCCGCTGCCACTCTTGGTACTTTTGACGATGCTGCTCGTGTTTTTGTTGATCTCGCGATCCAGATGCGGGCCCCGCTTCGCCAACCTCTGAAGGGTCCGGGAGAACTACAGTCACATCATCGCTGCCAACATACGAACGAACGTCGATGTCGGGTTTCTTCTTGCGCCTCGATGACCGAAGACGGGCATTATCTTTCGAAGCTTCGGCAGTATGCACGGCGTTGTCATGATATACCACCAGCGCGTTATTCCTGCCTGCAAGTGGTCGGACGGTTTCCACGCTCGATATTGAGCTGCTGCGACGCGTTGAGGCAGACTTACTACGTTCGGAGTGAGATAGACTTTCAGGCCCGGCGTCTTCGTGTTCATCGTAGGTCACTGTCACTTCCGCCAACTCATCGTAGGCGCTTTCAGTGCGAGATGTAGTACTTCGACCGCGACCATCGCGCGACGCTTTTCGGACACTTTTGGAACTGCTGGCTTTACTTAACGCTCGCTTCGAAGTTGGCTCGCGTCCGCTGCTCGACTCACGGTCATCCACTTCGATATGAGTCCTGGCTTTCGACACGATGCTGCTGCCTCGCTCACTTCGACTAGGTTTGATACTCGAGGCTCGCTTCGAGGTCGACTTGCTTTGGATGCTCGGCTCGTAGTCCTCCTCGTGTATACGACTTCTGGCTTTCGATGCGGTACTGATATTTCGCTCGTTGCGACCCGATTTGATACTGCTCCTAGTGCTTGCAGCGGTACTAGGGGCGCGTTTGGGCACTCGATCGGCATAATCCTCGACGCGGTAGACGACACTTGGTCTGCGGCCTCTCTCACTGCTTTCCGCTACACTTAAGCTATTGCCGACCTCAGATCTAGCATACACTTGGTCGACGCGGCGCCGAGCGGCACTAGGAATGCTGACAGCATGTTCGCTTTGAATGCTGGGTGTCACACTAGCAGTGCGCGATGCTGGAGGTTGCGAAAATGGACCTCGTAAAGCCAGGGCTCGCGAAGACGAGGCTCGAGAAGGATCACGCGAGTGGCTCTCTTGCAGGTATCCTGATGACTCTTTGATGAGGCTAACGTCGCTAGGTGCGACACTCGGACTTCTAGATACGGATGCCGGCAGTAGATGCTGGTCATTTGTCACCGCACTTCGGGCGGCAATAACAACACTCTGCGAACATGAAGGCTGAGGATTATGAATTTCGCTTGGAACTCGCGAGACAGAAGATGGCGGGTGTTGCACAGATGCCGCACTTGAGGCGACGCTTATAACGCTTGGGGCGCGATAGTTCTGGACCCTTGGATCAGGCAAAGTCAGGTGACTTCCATGTACCTGACTTTGAACAGCGGATATGACACTCGAGGCATGAGAGCTATCTCTTGACGCTGGCAATGCCGGATACTTTCCAGGTGCCGTGCCTGGAGTGACGCTTACTTCACTGGATGCGCGAGATCTTTCTCTCGGCGCGGGCAAAAGCGGAGGATTCCCGGGGGCCGCACTCGGAGTAACTCTTACAGCGCTTGGAGCGTGGGAGCTTTTTGTAACTTGCGGCGGTATCGAAACAGCTTGTGGAGGATGTGGGTGGTAATTTTCGGGTGCGCTATGTGGCGTGGCACTACCTGTACTCGCATGGCTCTTAGCAGCGCTGACTACGCTCGCAGCAGGGGTGCTATGAGTACTATGAGCGACACTTGGGGTACGCGACGAAGTTGTGGGGTTTGCGTTTGTTATCGCTGGACTCCGAGTGTTGCTAACGGCGCTCACAGGATACGGACTGTATACCACCTCCCCGGGTACAGGTCGTCTATAGCCCCTCTCTTGGACGTTGCCTGGTGGCACGCTTGCTAAACTCGCGTTTCGCGTGGGTACTGCAGTTGGAAGCGGTGAGGGGATGGGTGCCAGCCTACCAGATGCAGGCTCGCTCAGTTCGCGACTCTTTGCTTTATAACTCTTCGTTCTGTCGTTTTGGAAGTCTTCAGGTTTCTTGGCGCGAAGTTTTCTTCGTTCAGCGCCGTTTTCTTCGTCACGGATCCATTTGCTTCCTTTTTTGTCTATATGGGTCGCGGAGAAGCTCATGTTTAACTTGGGAGGAGTTTGTGCATCAAATAATGATTTTGGATTAGGCTTATCATGAAGGGAGTATGTTGAGCAACGATAGTGAGGTATTTGAATGAGCTCAATGTGAATCGTCATCCTTGAAGATATTCAAGTCATGGAAACCTGCGACAGCCTCAACTTGTTGTGTCAACGGAGAGTTTTGACAGGGTCAACATGTCCATGACTCTATTACGAATGACGAGTGACGCAAGTCTTATGTGAACCATAATACGTTTTTAGTATGCGCAATAATCATAAATAATTTTTGGGCATACGCCAAACTTTGTAGTCACTTCTTGTGGGTATACACGTGGATGCAAACTCCAAGATCACACACAGGCCAGAAATTGGTTAGAGTGACTGTGACGACATATTGAGTATGCAAACGTTTACTTGTGAGGTTACTTTTTTGAGACAGAGATATCAGTGGTAGAATGTGACGCATTCGGTTAAAGCCAAAGGTACCCAGGAAGCAATCAATATCGTTGGACAGGCAGGCTGTTGCTTACACCCCAACTTACCCCGCAGCTAGGCTGCCTTCCAAGACCACACCACATCAAACGCCTTCTCACGCGCGATCTCAAATGTGTTACCAGGTCGTTGAAAGATATTCGTTCTGTCGCTGCCTCTACTACAAGCATGAGTGGGACCCATGTGCAGCGCATGGCCAACGAGGTCACACCACTCACGAGAGGACGGTCTTAGTAGGCTACGCCTGCTCATTACATTCAAAGGACAAACAAACCCCTGGGGTCGCCGATATCGTTGGCAGCCTCTCAGACTTGGAAGATAGCTCGGATGATGGCGACAGCATCTTTTCTACCTCGATCGCGCTAAGCAGGTGTACTTCGTTCATCGCTTCGGATGAACAAGACACCATTGCAGAGGTGCTTGAGGTCCTGCTACAAGACCCTCAACTAAACTGGCAGGGATTGGTACGCTCTCAGATAAAGGATACCACTGAGATGAAGGCAAAGGACGTTCAATTCTTTCTAGGTGCGTTCGAGAGGGATTTACGCGCGGAGTCTGACTCCGTCCTACAACACCTTGCTTGCGCATTTTTACGACGTCGCTTGCGATATCTATCATCTGAGATATACAAACACTTCAACGTTGAAGAGGCTATTACCTCTGATGCGTACTATCCTGACGAAAAGAGTGTTACCGGATCATTACAGCAACTCCAGCCAATCGACACCGACGAACCAGATCCAACACTCATGCCGGCCTTCTCCATCATTAGAGAATTCTTGTTCTATGGAACCGCTTATGAGGCACTGAAGGAAAATGTAAGAAACTTTGCACAGCATACGCGCAACTACGGGGAAGAGATGGTCGACATTTTGTTGAGAAATATACACCCGCCCTGCAGAAAATTGGGATTCTCTCCAAACGTTGATGCGACCTGCCTGTCCAACGTCTTCGACATTTTCTTTGCTGGTCTTGCAAAAGAAGCAGAAACCCAAATGATCTCTGCTTCTGATCGTGCCGGGATCAAGGGCGTCCATGGAAAGCTATCGGAACTTGCAGCCAGGATGAATGCGTTGTGGACCGATCAAGTGCCGTCGTGGCACTTTTATCCGCTCATACCAACTAACATCGGCCGCCCATCGCCTCTGAGATCTTCATCAAACGCGATAAGAAGTCAGGATGAATTAGAGACTTTTGAATCATTCGTATGCTCAAGCAGAGCTTTCTGGCGTCTCACAAGCTCACTCGCACCATACGCGCACAAGACCTTACGTGAGCCTAGCTACGTTCTGTCTTCTAGAACAGGAGAAATGCAGAGCACGAGCATCAAATTGTTCTCTGCACCGCCCATAATGAAAGTCAAATTCCGATGCGTAAGTCATTCTTCCACAACGGTGTAATAGCAAGGACCTGGCTAAATTTCGCTAGTCTTGTGGACAGGTCATCACCGACAACTATACAGCGCTTTCTCAAGGAGCTGTCATCGACATATTGCGACAGCTGAGACTACTATCCGTTCGCCAGATGTATCAGCAAGCAGCCTCACAGCAATCGCAACAGAACAAAGCATCATTTTCCTTTCGGGACCTGTTACCCAAGTTCATTTCAAGGGCGGCACCGAAAGCACAGCTTCCACAGCATCATCCCATCGCTCCAAAAAATAATAATGTACCAGATGAGCAATGCAACTTGCAGACTCAATCGAATCAGCATCAACATCACTACATTCACTGGTGTATTCCTTGGAGTCGCTACGCTACACGCATGTCTGCGCTACAGTCATGCCAGTTCAAAACAGACCATGACCTCTTCAGAGCTCTGAAGCAGCGTTACGTACAGTCCAAAGAGCGATGCCAGGGGCTAATGTCCTTCAAGAAACCAACCGCCCTGCGTTTTGTGAAGGCAAGCTCTCCTTTGCGATTTTCAAAGCGCCATGTAGCCTTGGCTGATATCATTTACCAGTTCCGCTTGTACCATCATCGACTGGTAGACATTCAGGAGATCAACGACATACCACCCGCCGCTCAAAACTGCGAGTACGACTACTCTCCTATGCCAGCTGATAACGTCCCTCCAATCGGTCCGAATCTGTTGATGCACTTCTTCCTGCATCCGGATGAGAGCCCCTCATTCCCGGTTCTACTTCCAAGCATACCAAAACGCAAGAATAACAGACTCGAGCCCTGCCCAGTGCGCGGTAGTAAGTAAGTATTGCCTTTCTCTCCAGGGATAGTAAGATACTGACACTTACAGTATCGGCTGGGGGCTTGACGTCGTTACCGGTGTTGACGAGCTAAAGCTCTTCGGCCTAGCCCTGCTTGGTACTTTGGCAAGCATCATCTTCGGGCTTGTTTGGTCAGTGATGAAACACGACATACAGGGCGCATTCGCTGTCGCGGGTTTCTTTTTCGTAATCTTCACGTTCACCATCGCGAGTGTCAAAGCGCTGGACTTCTAGGGTTCGTGTCATAACAATCGAGTTAATGTAATAGGATTTAGAGTTCTCTAATATACAAATTTACCATACCGCTTCTTCGAACCACCGCCTAGATCGTTGATCCAGCACTGCCCGGTACTCTCTCTCCGCTCATCCACGCTGGAACGACAAATTCCGTTCTATAAGTAGCATGTCTATCTATCTTTTTGTATAGTCTGGCCTTACCAGGCATGTACACTAGTTCCTTTTCGACTTCTCGATCGATCACGCTCTGCGCATACGGGCGTGTTCTCTCTACGCGCGCTGCACCTACAGAAGAGGCAGAATCCTCTGGTCCAATTCCCTCGCTGTTGTAAATTCCGTCATCCTCAGGATCGTACCCCCCGTCCCTGTCGTGCTGCTCATCTTCATATGCGGAAGGAGCGCGACTTCCGTTACGATGCTCTGAGCGGTGACGAGAGCTGGAGTGTTGACTATTGACTTCGCTTGGGCCTCGCCCTCTGCGAGATCTCATGTCGTACTCGACATCATCGTAGAAGCGACTCGAGGTACTGTGTGCACGACCTGATTGACTAGTTGAATGTCCACTGCGCTCGCGTGTGGAAGTACGGGTCTGGGAAGGGGTGTTGCGCTCGCGATGGCTATGACGACTCTTGCTGCTACCGGCTACGCTGCGATCCTGCTCAGCGGCTTTGTGTGCAAACTCCCCATCAACCCATGACTGAGCATTCGAGATCCTGCTTGATGCCACACTGGGAGTTCTTCGTGAGTACGGGGCAGGATGCGCTTCCGGGATGTACTCTTGGGTAGCATTGACCTCGCTAGTAGCGTAAGAGCTGCGACTGCTGCGACCTGCACTTGGCATTCTTTGTGGAGGTGGCGCATCGTAGTCTCTTCTAGAGTTACCACGACTGGACTTGGTGTTACTCTTGTTTGGAGGACGAAGAGCAGATGGCGGTTCAGGTGCTTCTGGTAATGGTGCGAGTTGACTCGATACGCGGCTTGATGACTTAAGTGTTCCCGACCTGCGGTCTTTCGCGACCTTCACGGAATAGCTGCTAGTCGATCCTGTATCCTTTCCTTTGACCTCCTTCTTGTAGTAAGCAGCTTCGCCTTCCGGGTTCAATCCAAATGCTTCATCTTTTCGACGGACCCATTTATTCTTCACGGCATATGAGCCTGAGAACATGATACTGATGAATATGATAATCCTGATTATGGCGTAGAGTTGTCCAGCAATTTTTGATGAGTGGAGAGCTTTGAGAAGTACTTTACGAGTTTAGAAGTAGAGGCGAGCGTGGCTTCTTATCGCCAGCATTTGTGAATTTGTCTCTGGCGCTCGAAAAACATACTTCCATGAACGAGCACCAAGTCCATGGAATCATGTATGAATGAATGTCATGGTCAGATTGCCGCGCAAGCATTCAACTATTTGATGTTAGAGAATGAGAGTAAAGTATGACAGAAAATTCGCATAATTAACGACGAACGAAGGCTATCAATGGTTCCAATACATGCTTTTGGCACTGATATTCTTCCTATCAGGTCTTGAGTAGCAATGCGATTGCGAAGAGGATATGAGCGACGGTTTGAGAGCACTTGGGATATCATGTGGAAGAAGATGCGGAACAAATTAATGTAGAAAGTGACTGCAAAGACTGGGAGTAGGACTACATGATTATTACTAGAAAAGATGACATTATCGCGCAGTGAACTTTGCAGATCCTTCTATCGACGCCCGCGCCTCCTGCCGCCGCCGAAGCCAGCACCAAAGCCCACACCGGGAATTTCAGGGTTCATACCACCGGGTACACGCATACCAGCCCCACCTCCAAAACCTCCAGCTCCATCCACTGGCTCGCCTATCCCTTGAGGCATTCCACGTTCCACATTTCCGTAACAATCATCGTCGTCATCGTCATCATCGTCATCAAACATTCCCCTCATATTGCGGCGTTCGCCCACTCCATGGAGGCGAGGCGGTTTGAATAGCTTGGCCCACTGATCAGTGTAGACTTTCTCCCACTCTTCGGCATCACCATATGCTTCCGTCAGCAACTCGTAGTATTCCGCCTGCGCTGAGAATCGGTCTCTTTTGTTGAAACGGCCGTTAAGAGGGCTGTTGAACCCATTGTTGGACCGATATCGACTGAAGATGTACGCCTCTAACTCGCTCGGCGGCTGGACAAAACGATGTGCCCGGTCGGCTGGCATTGGCTCAAGACCATGATCTTTCCTGTGCTCATTGTGCCGTACAAGCAACCTGTTTCTCTCTTTTATCCACGCCTGGGCTATCTCTCTCTTCTCTTCGTCTGTGGGGAAAAGATGACTTTTGGCTTGTGCTCTTGCGAAGGAATTACGTCCACCCCAGGGCGGATACATGTTTTCGAGTAAGAGGTATGGATTTCTGGTGACCGTATCAAGCCGGAATTGTTGCTAAGTAGCTGTTTTGCTGTAAGTTGATGTAGAAGGAGGGAGCGTAGGAAACGGCACTAACTTTGGGAGAGAGATCTTATATACGAAGCAGCTGTGATCTTTGCTTGTGAAGAATGATCATGTGCTGTTGACGAGGCGTGAAGTGACGCCACTTACACTGCTGCGCTCGTCAGCTGGACCAAATGTCACAAACGCCATCAATATCCGATCGCTGTGACGATGCTCATTTATTGATCATGAGTCAATTGAGTGATGCCAGATATACGTTGGACAGCAACCCGCACACCTTAAACATACAGCCCATGTCTTAGACTTCGTCCAAATGAAAGTGATCAGGGAAGCAGATAGAAGTCATTAACTATACTGACTGAATGGACGTAAAGATGCGTTTGTCATACTATTTCAGCAAGTGCTAGTACTCGTACCACCCATGTCTCCGAGATCTCCATTCCTACTTGATACCTCGATAACAAACCCATCACGCTCTTCTCAATCATGCATGTTCCAAGCAGAAGCCTTACCACCTCCACCAGGCCAACGCAGGCCACGCCCATCATCTTGACCTCTTCCTCCTCCCCCTCTACCATTGTCCCATCGACCAAAGCTATGATCTGGAACAGGCGGGCCTCCACTGCCCATACCCCTAATGTCCGGAAACCCAGCGTTAGGTCTTGGTCCCCCTCCTAGACCATTGTCCCATCGCCCAAAACTATGGTCTTGAATAGCTGGGTCGACACGGCCCGTCCCCATCATTTCCGCAAATCGCGCGCGACGCTCATCTCTCTTTCGCTTTGAAAAATTCAAAGGAGGAAGGTGATCAGGTATTTCAAAAGGCCCATCGTCTCCACGGTGCAAAGGTCCACCGACACCCATACGCATCAACTCATCCAGCTGTTCTTGCGGTCTGCGAGAAGGTCCGCGAGAAGGCCGTACCTCAGACGGTATATCATGAGTGTCACTGCGCCTTCTAAACTGAGGCAGCCCTTTTGAATTCTTCTCATAGAATTCCTTTACACGCGCCTCCCCTGCTACTCGTGCGTCTACATTCCTACGATCCATACCTCCAGGATCCCTGGGACCAGGTATGGGTGACAACCATTCGTTTTTGCCGGGCTCGCCGTGGTGATAGAGTGGGGGCGGGGTTTTGTAGCCTTTGAAGAAATTGAAAAGGCCCATAGCGTGTGGTTTGTGCTGCGAAAGATGTTGGTTCGTCGAATTGACTTTGGGTCACCGGAATTTGCTTGTAGGTGTCTTGTGATATGTAGCAGGCAGTATGGGAAATTGTATCGCAGTAGACGTCGTGTTGCTGGGAGGTTAGACTTGTCTTTATATTACAGGTTTAACGTGACCGCGACGTTCTGGAATGTGGAACTAGAGGGTCACAGTACATTGTTGATGTGAGGTGGAGACGTGTCAGTTTTGTCACTCATCACCTGCACAAAAGCGGTCGTTGTTGTGATCATCTGTGTGATCATTGCCATGAAATTCGAACGCTGTCATAATATGTACATATGTATAGCATGACTGGTGACATCCAGCCACCTATCAATAGCTATTCTGAGATGTCTCAAAAGAATGCCGTGATTCCCTCCTTCCTCCTCAGAGCAATGTGAAGGGAGATGTATACAGCGATGCCAAGACCCAGCATACCGGAGATGACGCCGAAGCCCATGAGATACTTTGGCTTGTCGTCGGCAGGGAATAGGTATGCGCCGTAGATCTGTGCAAGATTGCCCATGGCGTTGACGAGCGCGATCGCAATAGCCCTAACTTCCGGCTGCATGGATCCGAAAGTTGCGCTAGCGAAAGATAGCGAGACAGCGTTGGAGGACCAGAGTCCAGCGGCCATGAGAACAAGCAGTGCGTATCGCGCCTTAAATTCGTAGACGAACAATACGCAGATCGAGGTTATGAGTGCGAAACCGAGCCAGCCTGCGATGACGAGACCACGGTGGTTGGAGATGGCGTCGGCGTAGTATGTTGTGACTGCCGTGCAGACGAAGGCGACGGCGTAGATGGGGACAGTCATGTATTGAGCGGTGACTGTGTCGGTGTATCCGAGGCCGGTCATGAGCGTTGGGTAGAAGTACGAAAGGGTGGAGGAGCCGACAATGACCTAATCTTTGTTAGTCGAATTCATCATGATTCGCACGACATGACTCACCATGTAACCAAGGATGAAAGAGATAGTCCTCCAGTCGCAGATAGCAAGGCGGAAGGACTTTCCCTTGCCCATCCTCTCATCGCCCTCGGTATGTGTTTGGACACCGCCCTCCTTGAGGCGGGCGATAGCAATAGCGCGCTCGCGGTCGGTGAGTCGCTTGGTGTTGGCGGGGAAGTCCAGCAGGATGAAGTATGCGCACATCGCCCAGACAATGGTCGCAGCTCCCTCGATGATAAAAAGCCATCTCCATCTATTAAAAAGTTAGTCATGCGGTTTTTCAATGTTCAGGGCTTGTTCCTTACCCGCGAAGACCGCCAGTACCCTCCATGCCGCCAGTAATGGCACCTGCAAGGAGACCACCAAATGCGCCACTGAGAATGGCCGCAGACATGTATACACCGAAGCGCTTTGACTGCTCATC